CCCCTTCTCCATGATGGACTCTTTGCAAGGAAGTCCCTATGTGTAGCCCGCACTAAAAAAGTGGGTATTTTGCCTTTTTGTTCCTCAGTTTCCTCATCTGTAAAACTGGGAATAATAATAGAAAGTCTTTTGTAGATATGTTGCACATACTGAGTTAATATATGTAAAGCATTTAGAAGAGTGTCCAGCACAGAATAAGCAGTAAGCATTAACAATTCTTACTGTCATATTCCTTTTATACCAGCTTCCTTGTGGAAAAACGCACTAAGATAGTCATTCATCCACTTAACCACCATATTCTGAGCACCTGCTATGTGCCAGGCATGGTCCTAGACCCTGGGAGTTACAATGTTGAGCAAAAACAAATACATCCCCTGACCTACAGAACATCAATAGAGATTAATGAAGTAATCACACAAATGAACATATACTTCCAAACAGTGAGAAGTGCAATGATGAAAACTCATGGAAGCTATGGGGGTATATTTCAGGGAAACCTCCTTATTTTTCCTCTGAAGACATGACATGTTTCCCTGGGAAACATGTGACTTAGGAAGCACCTGTGAGAAAGGAAGGGTGACTAGGGTGTAGAGAGTGAGGTGGACAGTGGCATGATGGGAGGCAGGACAGGCAGGCGGGTCACCCCTATGGTATGGATCCATAGTAGCCACTGCAGATGGTCAAGCAAGAAGTGATCTGATCCCATATTAGTTTCAAAGAGATCACTCTGGCCACATGGAGAGCTGGGAGTATATGGGGTCAGAGTAGATGTAGGGAGACCAAGCTACTACAGTAATCCAGTAGAAATGACGGCAAATTGCACCAGACAGGTGGCCACAAAGAAATGCGAGGTGGAAGGACTCTGGAGTGCCTAGTCACAGACTGGAAATGAGAGACGGGGGAGCAAGAATTACGGAGCCTGACTCTACCTTTCTGTCTTGAGGAATTAGATGGCAAGCAGTGATATTTAGGGAAAGTGGCATGCTGAAAGGAGACAGAAGGAATGAAATGATGAGACAAGAGTGTAACAGAAATTGGGGTGCCAGGTGGTAGAGGACCCTAAAGGCCCCCTGAGGAAGCACTGACTTCAAACAGGAGAACCTACGTCTTCCCAGGTGGCTCAATGCTAAAGAATCCACCTTCCAAGGCTGGAGACGAGGGTTCGATCCCTGGGTCAGGAAGATCACCTGGAGAAGGAAGTGGCAAACTACCCCAGCATTCTTGCCTGGAAAAGAATTCCTCCATGGACAGAGGAGCCTGGCAGGCTACTGTTCATGGGGTCACAAAGAATCGGACATGGTCTAGAGACTAAACAACAACAACAGTAGAACCTAGGAAAAATAGGAACATGTTATGTTGACCTGTCCCTTTCTTTTGGCCCAAGGCAAGAGTCTAGATAGAAGTTTTTAATTCTACATATCCTAAAACTCTTCTTTATCCCACCAACTCAAAGGTAGTTCCTCAGCCTTGTCAGCAATGATGCCCTTTTAGGTTTTTTAAAAGAATCCGAGGCTGGAAGGTTAGAATCTAGACTTCTCAGTTTGGTACTTGAATGTTGAAACATGAAGAGAGTCAGCCCCCAGCTTTTGGCCCCCAGGCTCTGGCCCACCTGCCCCTTCTATTCCCACCCTCAAACCCATCAGTGCCATGAAGGACCTCAAGTCTATGAACAGCCCAACCCATTCATTCAAGTTCCAGTCCATCCACCATCACCACCCCCAGGAAAAGGAGCTGTTCCTTGGTCACCTCTACACAGATCCTAGATGTCAACTGGGCAGGAGTGTCCCGAATCCTGGACATCTGCACTGATGGCTTTAAGAAGGACATGGATTCCAGGAGGCTGGTGTAAACACTTTGACCCCTGGTACTGACTTTATTTCAATTACACTCACCATAAGCATCACTGTCATATTACCTTGAGCATAACTTACTGCCTGTCACGTTTAAAATTTACTGTTTTGAAAGAAGGTGGAAATGTCATGCCCCTACCTTTCCAAATCTGATGACTGACTGAGATAGATGCTGCTTCCCTCTGAAGGTTCAAATAAAGGAAAAAACATCATAATAATAAACATCATCACCATTCATCTCAGTGGTAATTACCCATTCATGCCAACCCCCCTCAAGATTTAAACTCTAGTTAAAATGCAGAAAGATGAACAGACTGAAGAATGTAGCTTATTTATTTATTTCCAAAGAGAAAGTGCCATTCTGCAATCCAAAGACTTTAAGACAAATCTGACAGCCTAAATTGCATCCTACCAAAGGAAATGGTTTTGATAGAATAAGACATTAATAAACAATCTGGATTTTCCTCATTTATTTTCACTTTATTTACTTGTCTTATCTACTCTATATTTCAAAAGGCAACTTATGATACAAATCCATATACAAGAACAGATAGTTAAGAGTGAAGGTAAGAAAACAATATCAGAAGCTGTTTAAAGGAAAAAAAGAAATAATTTAATCATGAATCTGAAATCAGACATTATTCATATGAGCACTAAATGGGCTCTGAGTTTCCTAGCAGCCAAAGCAACGGAAAAAAAAAAAAAAATTGGGAGGAGGGTCACACATTTCCCAAAGCCTGTTAAGGAGCAGATTCTCATTTCTTTAAAAGAGACAAACTTTCCACCATCACCAAAGTTCTACCAAACAGTACCTCCAAGTAGTAATGTTGAGGGCTGCAAAAAAGTTCTCCATTTCATTACTAGTCCTGCCTATAATCTAAATGTGTAACAAGAAGACATGATTGTTAAGAATAAGTGCTGCGAAGCACATGCTTTTTGAAAAAAATGATTGCTGCAGTTAGAGAAATATCTGGAAATCAATACAAGACTGAGTTTTAAATGCTTGCCCTCCTGTTAGCTGGACTTCCCTGGTAGCTCAGCTGGTAAAGAATCTTTCTGCAATGCAGGAGACCCTGGTTTGACCCCTGGGTCAGGAAGATCACCTGGAGAAGGGATAGGCTACCCACTCCAGCATTCTTGGGCTTCCCTCGTGGCTCAGATGGTAAAGAATTTGCCTGCAGTGCAAGAGACTTGGGTTTGATCCCTGAGTTGGGAAGATCCCCTGGAGAAGGGAACAGCTACTCACTCAAGTATTCTTGGCTGGAGAATTTCATTACAGAAGAGCCTGGCAGGCCCCAGTCCATGGGGTCACAAAAAGTCGGACATGACTGAGCAACTTTCACTTCACTCCTGTTAACTAGAAAGAGTCCAAGGGTCTATATTACAGTTAACTTAGAGGAAATAAACATGCAAAGAATTTCAATCTCAAAGCAAATATAGCTTAATTTATAACTCCAATTATAAGAGATTTCAGCAGTCAATTTGAAGTCAGACAAAAACTTTGGGAAAGTGTAACTTATGCCAGTGATGCACTCAGTTAACTGGCATGCTAGCCTCCTTTCACCAGGCTGGACTGAGATTTCTGAATGATCAAATGGTTGCAGAGAGCAATTTTTCCCTTCTTTCTAGTAATAGAACCCCAACTTGCTCAGGCTGGCAATCTACCCAGCTGAAAATCATCAGGTTTCCAGACTCCTTTGCAGAATGACTCGCCATGTTGATCCTGGGACACAGTTATGGCCAAGGAGCTATGAGCTAATTCTACCAGGAGGGGGTCTCTAGCTAAATGGGATTCCACTGACACTTGCATTTTGACTTGCTCTTCATCCCTCATCTTGTTTGAACACAAACAAAATGTCTGAAGAAAGACCAGCCATCTAGGGACAACAAGTGTAAAAACCAGATATAAAATCACTGAAAAGGGAGCTGGAAAGACCTTGGGTACTGATGGCTCCAGACAGCACCCCCACCCCCAGTTCGACACTACTTCCCTGCCCGTCTTATGAAGTGAAAGAAAATAAATAGACCCCTTTTGAGTTAGCCACTCCAGATGGGTTTTTGTCACAATCAGCAGAATGTAATACCTAACTGAAAAACACACACAGATCCATCTCTCTAAATGCTTCATGCAACAAACTGAAAGTGAGATTTCAAGTCCAGGGAGACTGGACAGAAGAGAATCTCCTTCTCATTGCAGCATTCAGCTGGTGGCCAGAGTGTGATTGACATTCACCAGATCCAGTTTTCCTTCTGGTCTCACAGCTGAGTACATTTCACATCTTCCCCCAGAGGAGTCTGTGTGGCTGAGTTCCGGTCAGTGAAACAGGGAAGGCAGTGATGTTAGCATAAAGCCCTCCTCTCCCTCAATGCTCCAAGCTGGCTGGCTTTTTCCCATCCTCCAGGTGAAAGGGAAGGAGGACAAACTCCTGGCAAATGACAGAGCCACCCAATGGAAGAGCCCGGGTCCCTGACCCAGGGGGCAGAACCCTGCACCTGCTGAACCAGGACAACAACACAAAAGAAGAAGGTGTATTATGTTAAGTCACCGGGATTTTGAGGTTACTGGTCAACCTACTAAGAATACACCTCTAGGAATAGTCTCTAGTCTCCAGAGTGGAGGGCAAGTACTATCGGCAGGTAAGCAAGAGGATCCACTGCGGTAGCCTCTACTTAACCACATTTTAATGAATTTAACCAATTTGGGGCTATTTTTAAATGTACATATGTTGGTAAAGTAGTATGTGTATAAAACAAATAAATACATTTATACTGAAAAGTATGATCAAAATTTTTTTTTTTAACTGAACAGGATGCACAATTCAAAAAATCATGAGCATCACTGTTCTAGGGTAGTGGTTTTAAAACAATTTTTAAGCAAGAAAACTTCTTCTCATGAAAACATCCATGTGCGGTCAGTACAGAAAATAGGTGATGGCTTTGCTGCTCTGGTTAATGAGGGTGCCCTAAACCCTGGAAGGAATGAGGCTACACAGGGAAGGAGGAGAAAGATCAGTATTGAGGTTTTGCAAAAGATATTGATTAGAAAGAGAATCACATTGCTTAATTTTTAAAAAAAATCGGGCTCCACAGAATCTATGGACAAAGCAATGGCAACAACATTCTAAAGACCTCTTTATAACTGACACATTTCTAGTCTCCTTTGTATTGGTCACTTGGTTTGAATGGGTGACTTATACACTGGCTCTTCATCCAGGGCAAGGGGAACTTGGGAGACCTGACCACCTCCCGCTGCTTGATCCTATTGCCAAATTTCCGTTTCTTCACCTGAGCTTCGGGAACAGAGCAGGAGGAGGCAGAAAAAGAGAGAAAATGGCAAAGTGAGATAACACCACACTGTTTCTTGGGCAGCTGAGGAAAGCAGGGGAAGCTTCGACATAGCAAGCTTCTATTTGCAGAGGCACAAAGAGGCCGTGGCTTGCTCGCCAATCTCCCAGCTTCTCTTTCATTGGGTTAAGCATGCAAGGGAGCTCAGAATTTAGCCCAAAGAAATACTTAAAACCATTTAGAAACAAGAAGTCTTGCGTGAAATTAAACCTATGTTACTGATAAGTGTGAAATACAAAAGAATTATTCACACACCAGAGAACCCCAGAAAATACAGTGTACTGTTTCTACGGCAAGACTATCCAGAAATCCTATATATTCAGGGACCTGGAGCCTATGTCAACTGCTCTTCAACTCATAGCAACGAGTGTCAATCTGAGGTACACAAACCTCTGGCTCATTTCTTCTTTTTCTTCACAGTGGAGAGAAGGAGAAGGAAATGATAACAAAATTACACCCAGCAGCCAAGTACGGAACTGAAAGGAATAATCGACTTGAGCTGTCATGTGACTTTCTATCATTTCTAGCAAGCTTGTACCATCAAATATTTCATGTATTCTTCAACCATTGCTGCCACTTACTTTTTCAATGCATGAAAACAGATGGGAAATTTCCCTGGTGGTCCAGTGCTTAAGACTTTGCCTTCTAACAATGCTGGGGGTGCAGGTTCGATCCCTGGTCTGAGAACTAAAATCCCACATGCCTTGCGGCCAAAAAAACCAAAATATAAAACAAATGTAATATTGTAACAAATTCAATAAAGACTTTAAAAATGGCCCAGGTCAAAAAAATCTTTTACAAAATTCAAGAAAAACAAACTTTTCCTTTCACTTTTCCCCTCGTTATAGTACCATGTCTTATGCACAGGTTCAGAGCCCATTAAGTCAGGGCCATTTGGTATCACCAGAGATCACTGAGCAAGCAGTAGTTATTTACATGTGTGCACCTTCCATCCCTAAGTGCTCTCCCAGACCAGCCCCTGCACTCAGCGGCCTCAGCTTCTGACAGGTACCAATGATGCAACTACTATCCCAGCCATCATATTGAGGTGCCGAGAATATCCCTTTGTATCATGAGAGCAATCTTTGAACTCTGTGTTGCTTATTAAATGGACATAAAGCAACTCAAAGGACAGTAAGAAGCAATTCTTTAAGCAGAATCTCCCTATAAGAATATTCATTTCCTTCTCTGTGACAGATGCTGTCATGGGCCTTATATGTAACTTCTTTTTCTTTTCCTCCCCTTGAATATGTTTGCTGTCCTGATGATAAATCTACAGTCTCCGCTGAGCAGAAGAAAAATAGCTGCGGCTTTTCTGTATGCCAAGGCTGTGGGCCACATCTATCATCCTCTTGCTTCTGTTTTCCTTTTAATTATCTCACTTCAGTCAGAAACTTGACTTCAAATCATAAGCCTAAGGAGAGACTAGATTTTAATTCACAGAAGCACAGCTAAATATTTTTGTTCTAAGACTGCATTTCATAGTAAAGCTGGGAGCCCCAGGGCTCTTTAAACCAAATGGCAACTATAAACATTTTTCTTCATGGCATGGTTTTTTGCTTCAAATCAAACTTGAGTTCACCTATAGCCCAGCAACCAAAAAGTTATTATAAGGTTACATTCCCCTTTTCCAATCTGCCACCCAGCACACAAGAGCCTGAATTAATCACACATTAAAGAGGAATTTTCTTAAATGGGCCATTTCTTTAGGAATTTTCTGATGGTTAATTTAGGCCTCTTGTTGGGGCCAGTTGACTGCTTCAGAGATGGGCCCACTCTCCTCCAGGGGGACAGCGTTCCCTCTTCTCTTTCTGATTTTCCCTCCAGCTCTGCAGGTTCTACCCCAGAGAGACCCAGGAAGCTAATAATCTGGGGCTGCATTAAGACTGCTCAAATGATCTCCCCCACTCATTAAGCACAAGCTCTGTCCCAAAGTACCACCACTGTGCTGCCCACAGTTGAGTTGTTTCAGCTTCCCCGGGGCCCCAGACAAGAGCGTGCCTGGCTGTGGATCAGGTCCTGGGTCTGTCGTTGTGCTGGAGAGATTTCACACCAATGAAGAGAACTGATGGCCCCAAAAGCAGAGGGAGGGAGGGGACAGTCAACGCTCCTCAGAGTTCTATCCAGCAGCCTTTGTGCGAGGTATTAAAGTCCTTTCAAATGGGATATACTATTTCTATAAGCCCAAAGGTCTGGGTTAAATGTTTTCCTCTTACATTTCTTTTCTTTCAAGGGGAAAAAAAAAAAGACTTTACAACTTCCAATAAGAAAGGTGAGTTCATGTTTCAACAAAATTGATTGGATGAACTCAAACATGGAAGTGTTGTCAGTGATATCCAAGAAATTGAAAAAAAAAATCCAATTTTATGGGTCAGGTTGGGTGATGCGGTGGAAAAGTAAACAAATGGCAGAAACTGGCAGACTCTGGAGGCTCTCATTTTTGAGATGGAAGGAGCTAAAGAAGTCCTGAAACCCAAGCACCAAGTTGGTGAGGTAAGGAAACCAAGTCTGCAACTTGCTTACATCTGCCCAATGAGCAGGGGGCAGAATGACAGCAAGAACCCAGGGTGCTCCTCAGGTTCATTAAGAGTCTGCTGAGCACCTACAGCATGCAGTACACCATACAACAAGGGGCTCTTAGGTCACTGACAAACTCTTCCCCACAAATCAGCATCATAAGTACGACCCATTGAAGTATTTCTCAAAATGGAACTATATGGCTTGTTTCCAAAGAACTGGAAGGGAAAAAAGCTCAAGACCTAATATTGCATTACATTAAAAAAATCATAATGTTATTTAAATATGTATAAATGTAAAACTAAACCCTCTATACTTATTATTCTTTTAAGCAACTATCAAACCAGAGAAAATTTTCAAGTTAAATGTAAATAAAACTACAAAACCAACAAAATCCAATTAATAGCCTTACTTTAGTGTGACAAATTTATGTGCTTTTGCCAAAACTGAGTCACCGCTGGGAACGTGCATTGTGGTGCTGACTGCTAATGGCAGGTTCTTCAGACTGAGCACACCCATTTCACCGCATGTGGGGGCTGCCTCATTCAGCCAGCCTCTGGGCTTCCTCCTTAGTCTGGACTAGGAATCATCTGATCCTAATATGAGAAGGAATACAAGCCCAGTGTTCAGTTACAGGATGGCCTAGAAGATGCTTAGATTAATTTGCACACTGTCTTCAAAATAAAAGCCCTCATTGTAAAGTTTCTCTTAGAATACACATTGTACCCTCAAAAACAGACCTGTTTGAGAGATGCTGGTCAATTTGTCAGTTTAAGTGATTTTTTTCATTGTTTTCTATTTAAAGTCATATAATCAGAAGAGGAAGCTGGCTCAAGTAGAAATATGTTTCAATATAATATGATTAAGACAAAATCATTTTACTAGATAGTTTTATATTATTTCAAGTTAGAGCATCACTTTCATACTTGAACTCCATCCCCTACAATGAATGTACCCCCACCCATTTGCTGGTATGGGATTTGAGGACACTCTGTATTCATAAAGCCTTGTCCTGGAGCTTTCTGGGAATATGAAAATCACAAATATAAGTCAAAACTGTGTGGCAGTTACAAGGGAGTCCCCAGTGAGGGCTAAACCACAAGATGGGAATCCCAGTAGCAAGGAGATCTGCAGCAAGAGCAGGGAGGCCCAGGGCAAACGTCTGAAACTGTGACCTGCAGGACCACATCAATAAGGTTTGCTACAAGCCTCTTCTGTTACCATAAAGGGTCTAGTCATTTTCTGATACAGGTCATTTTCAAGTTCTGTTGTATACAATACAATGTCACACTAAAATTCCTTTAACCACAATTTCAGACTGGATGTTCTTTTTTTTTTTTTTTAAGTGTATCAACAGAGGGCTTGTCTCATGGCTCAGCATTAAAGAATCTATCTGCTAATGCAGGAGAGATGTGGGCTGGTCCCTGGGTCGAGCAGATCCCCTGGAGAAGGAAATAGCAACCTACTCCAGTATTCTTGCCTGGGAAGTCCCATAGACAGAGAAGCCTGGCGGCTATAGTCCATGGGGCTGCGAGAGAGTCAGACACGACTTAGCAAGTAAACAACAACTGTAAACAGATCTTAACTTGAAGCAGCAGGTGAAGAGAAGAATGCTTATTGTTAAACACCCCGGATCCTCAGATTCTCAGTCTCTAGATTCATTACACCAGATGCAGCACAGCCTACATCTGTTAGACTTTCAACTGAGTAATCATTCATGGAGCACCCACTGCCTGGGTACTGTGCTGGGTGCTGCGGATACAGTGGTGAGTAAGAAAGAACTGTTCCTCGTAACAGTCACAGTCTGGACAAGGAAAGAGTGACTCAGTAAGCAACCATCCAGGCAGGGCATCCAATGTTACAGCAGAATCAAACAGAAGAAGAGGAAAGAGCACTGAAGAGGAACAATCATTGTGTCTGGGCTAGAGGAGAGGAAAGGATCCCTAGAGGAATATTCTAGGATATTCCTGCCAGGTTTTGAAAAAAATGAAAAGGAGTTCATCAGGAAAAGGCCAAGTCGGAGAAGATGCAGAGTAAAGACAGATGCAAACAGTAAAATGTGATAACAAAGATGATAATCAGATTATAGCCAACATTCACTGAGTGGTTCTATGTGCCAGATACTGTGCTAAACACTCTAGGTGCTCTCAATCATTAACAGACTTATCCCTGTTTTATGGATAAGCCTTGTAGAGATTCACCTGTCCAAGATCTTACAGCTAATAAGTGGCAAAGTTCAGGTCAAACTAGGAACAAGATAGTCACAGCCTACATTTTCCACCTTTCCAGTCTACTCTTCAGAAGGCTAGAGCATGAAGTAGAAGGCAGAGAGGAAAAACATTTCTGACTGCTAAAAAATGTTGACATTTCTATCAACATTTCTATGGATGAACATGAAATACTATCAAACCCCCTCAAAAGTTGTTGCAGAGGATAGATTTGATGTTTCACACACAAACTATGTTACTAACATTTATATGTGTTAGAGATCATTTTTTATTCCAGACTCTGATTTCATTCTTCTAGTGAAAGGTGGAATTTTTGTTTACTTCTGATTTTAAATACTCAAGGGAATAAGATGAACATCTTCACAAGACATTCACATACAAATAAACTCATGAATTAGACAAAATTCTTGATTAGTCCATATGTCCCAATTTCAGGTTAAGAAATCAACACACACATATGTACACACACACACACCAGCTAAACAAAACATTGAATCCTGAGGCTGTCTCTAGAAACTAGTAAAATAACAGAGAATATGACTATTTCTTGCTAAAAATGTAAGGATTTTAATTACAACACAAATGACAACATTTACAACTGGCATGGTTCTTGGTTAATACAATTAAAAACAGTCTATGATATGTTGTGCTTTCTTAGCCTTTGAGAAATTTTATGTGCTTGTTATTTTTTTAATTTGGCTCTTTGAGAGTTAAAGAGAAGTAGTCTCCTTAGTTAAGAGAAAGTGAATATCATTATCATAAGGCAAAGTAAGGCAAAGTAAGCAAAGCGTTAACTTTTGCAGGTTGCATGATCATTTCCTTGTAAATGTTCTGCTCTCCTCAAGTGAGCCCAACAAAAAGGGTGGATTTGCGTATTCAAATTGCCACAGTTGGAGAGACCTCTTGTAAGGAAGCTAATCCCTCTACCCTACAAAAGGAAAAAAAAATCATAGCAAAAACAGCAGGCATGGAAATAACTTTCTATCAACCTACTCAGTAAGTGCCAGGTGCAAGATTCATTCCACCCGGCTTCCACTTAGCTCAAAGCTGCCGTTAAGGCAGGAGACAGGCAGAAACAACGTCCATGTCTAAAGATTTCTGGTTGAGTTCAGTGCTTGTCATTGGTAATTTAAGAGCTATTATATCCACTTCACAGAGTTATTGGGAGGATTAAATTAGATAATGTATTTAAAATGTCTAACGCAGTCTTGGACCTGGGAGCCATCCAATATGGGTTGATCCCATCCCCTTTCACACACAAACCCCACTCCCTCCCTATCTCCTGGTGGAGACTGCCAAACAACAGCATTTTTCATTACAGTGCTTTCTTAGAAATCTGATGAAAACAATAAAACACAAGCAGTTTATAGGGTAATCATTTTACATTTTTGTGACTTGAAATAGTTGCTTCTGAGTGGTAGCGCGTGTGGGTAGTGGTAGGCGTGTGAAGGTATCAGGATGATGGGGATTTACTGCTGAGCTCCATCTTGGGGCATGAAATTCACCAATAAATAACTGCAGAAGAATTTCATGGTTAATGGTTATGTAAATCACAGTTTGAGAGTGGTTTTTTTTTTTTTTTAAATACTTGATATAAGTAACCATTAATAGAATACACAGTATTTTTACAAACAAATCCAAAAACCTCATTTTCTTTCCTCATCACCTATTTTATGTAGGGAAGAAGACATTCCTCTTTAATCCCCTCAAATTAACACTTAAGAGGTCAAAGAATTGCCTTTACTTTAAAATAAGCAAACATGATTATAAATTTAAGCCTTTGTCTCTTCTAGTCTTATTACTATCTAATTTTTTTTTATTTTGTTCTACAAGATGAGAAAATATTCAGGTTTGTAGAAAATGGAGTGATTAGTAAAATGCATGCAAATCAAGTAATTAATTTTAACCAGGTCTTCAATATCCTTACCGCTGACAGTAAAGCGGAGCTGGGAAATTTAATTTCAAATTGTCAACATTTACAATCTCTAAATGAAACAGCAAGCACAGTGGCAGTTTCTCAGGGCTTCTGGCAAGCACTTATATTTTGCAAGTTCTCATTTCAGTAACTCGAACTAGAGACAATGTTGTGTTTGTCAAACCTATATTAAAGTTCTTTCCATGCCCATCAAGTTGTTCTCTAAAAAATGTTTTGGAAATCCACAGATGCAACATGCATATTCTCACAGCTATTCTGAAAGGCCCTGGTAAGCAGGAGTTAGGATGACAGCAAGTTCAGGGTGTAGAAGGCTGCTGTCCCTGTCTGTCATCCGTGCCCAATACCTCAAGAGCATCTGGTGAAAGAGTGAATGAATGAAGATGATCTACCTTGATGGTTAGGAAGCTCAGGCCTTGGGTTCTTAGGCCCTCCACTTACCAGGTGCTTGACCTCGACCATTTGCTTACCTTCTCTGTGTCTCAGTTTCCTCATCCATAAAGTGCAGTAATAACAGTACTTAGCTCATAGGTTGCCATGAAAATTAAAGGAAGCAATAAATGTAAAGCACTCAGAACAATAGCTGCTGCTGCTGCTAAGTCGCTTCAGTCGTGTCCGACTCTGTGCGACCCCATAGACGGCAGCCCACCAGGCTCCCCCAACCCTGAGATTCTCCAGGCAAGAACACTGGAGTGGGTTGCCATTTCCTTCTCCACAGAACAATATCTAGCACATGGTAAATACCTAATAAATTGTTTTACTATTGCTCTCAGTCTTATTAATATTACTCATCACTTAACTAGTATTAATGTTAGACTCAGTAGCACCATCCTTAAACAAACTGGACAGAAGTTTCATTAGCAGGTGCATGGCGATTTAATTTAAATTAAATTTTAATTTTAAAATCAGAAAATAAGTTTAAAGACTTCAAGTATTTCAAGCAGTTGAGTATGTCAGGTAAAGGAATGAGAATGTTACTTGAAAAGAATAGAAAAGAAAGATGCCCACTACCTGAATCACAGCTCTTAGAAAAATTAAGGGCTGATAATTTGCAGTAAAACAGAATATTTGACTTCCCAAAGGACTCCCTTCAGGAAAATCATTCTAAGTAACAGGATCCTCTTGCACCTATAAAGCAGAACTTGATTTATAAAAACACAGACAATTAACATAAAAGCATGTACATTCGCTTTTAAGCTACACTGCAGGAAACAGACCTTGGGGAAGTTTTTGATGACCCCAATTTTTGACAAATCCCGCGAGCAGTGGATTTTGTGCAACTTTTCAGCAACATCTAATAGAAATGACCAGTCCCCCTCTTGACCACATCCTCCACTTTCTTTCTCTCCTTTCCTTCCCATCTCACTGGCAGTCCGTCTCGTCTCTTTTGCTGGGTACTCCTCTTCATCTGGGCTTCCAGGTGTGGAGGTTCCTGGAGCTAAACCCTTCACCCTTCCCCTTCCTTCTCTAGCTCCCCTCACTCCCTCAGGGCTGGCTTTAGAATGATCTATGCACAAACAGGGGCTTACCTGGTGGCTCACAAGGTAAAGAATCTGCCTGTAACGCAGGAGACCTGAGTTCAACCCTCGCGCTGGGAAGATCCCCTGGAAAGGGAACGGTAACCCACTCCAGTATTCTTGCCTGGAGAATTTCACGGACAGAGGAGCCTGAGGGGCTTACAGCCCATGGAGTCACAAAGAGTCGGACACGACTGAGCGACTCACACTTCCACTCTCGCTTCATACACAGACAGCTCTCACATTTCTATCTCAAGGCCTAACCTTTGCTCCAGCCCTGGGCTGCTTCTCTACTTGATAAGGTCCCTGGATTTCCAGCAGATATCGCAAACCAAACACGTCCAACACCGAGGTCTTGGCTTTCTTCCTGAAATCCGCTGCTTCCTCAGTTTTTCCCATCTCAGTCAACAGCTCCGCCGTTCCCTATAGTCAGCCTTCCTTTCTCTCACCTTCCCCACTCCAGGCTCCCCTCTTCCTCTGACACATCCAGGGAATTAGCAAATCTTATTTGCTCTACTTTGAAATATATTTCAGATCTGACCACTTCTTACCATTCCCACGGATACCTCCTTGGGCTACAACAGTCTCTCTCCTGCAACAACTGATCTCCATCCTTCTATTCTATTTGCCTCCATAATCAGTCAAATGAGCCTTTCCAAACAAAAGTGAGATCAAGTAACTCCCTGGCATAAAACCTGTCCATGGCTTCCAGATACACTCATAAGGTCTTAATCATGGCCTCTAAAGACTTAATGTGACATGTCATCTGCCTATCCGTCTGCTATAATTTGGAAGTTTGTGTCTCTCCAAAATTCATATGTTGAAATTCTAATCTCCAAGGTGACCATATATGGAAGTGAGGCCTTTGGGAGGTAATCAGATCATGAGGGTTTGTCTTCCTGAATGGGATTAGTTCCTTTATAAAAGAGGCCTAAAAGAGCTCTCTCATACTTCGCTGATACACAGATACAATGAGAAGTTGGCAGTCTACAACTCAGAAGTGAGTCCTGACAACAACCTGGCCATGCTGGCACCCTGATCTTGGACTTCCAGCCTCCAGAACTGTGAGCAATTATTCCTACAAGAGCTCTCTCATACTTTGCTGATACACAGATACAATGAGAAGTTGGCAGTCTACAACTCAGAAGTGAGTCCTGACAACAACCTGGCCATGCTGGCACCCTGATCTTGGACTTCCAGCCTCCAGAACTGTGAGCAATTATTCCTACAAGAGCTCTCTCATACTTTGCTGATACACAGATACAATGAGAAGTTGGCAGTCTACAACTCAGAAGTGAGTCCTGACAACAACCTGGCCATGCTGGCACCCTGATCTTGAACTTCCAGCCTCCAGAACTGTGAGCAATTATTCCTACAAGAGCTCTCTCATACTTTTCTGATACAGAGATACAATGAGAAGTTGGCAGTCTACAACTCAGAAGTGAGTCCTGACAACAACCTGGCCATGCTGGCACCCTGATCTTGGACTTCCAGCCTCCAGAACTGTGAGCAATTATTCCTACAGTTTATAAGTCACTAAGTCTGTGGCACAGTGGTATTTTGTTACAGCAGCCCCAAATGGACACCTATTCCAATATCCTGACCAAGCGATTTAAACTATCCACTACCACCATAAGACCACTCTGAAGCCTCTTGAAACCACCTGAAACTGTATGCTTACTTGTCCACTGTCTCCCCCGTGAGAAATACAAGCTACACTGCAGCAGAGATCTTGCTCGTTGCCTCAGCTCCATTCTCAGCTCCTTAGACAGGGTCTAGAATGCAGTAGGAGTTCGATAGAGATGCTCTGCTGAATTCCTCTGCTAACTTCCCCTGCAGCCTACAGCTCCATAAGAAGTGGGCCAGGTATCAGAAGTTAAAAGAGTCTTGATTACAGCAAAATCATCCATCAGAAAAGGCCCCAGACTAGTCCCAAAAGGCTCCAGAATCTAAAATACCATGATACACAAAGATATGTGTCTGAAGCCCACCTCCATGACTCATTTGCATGTAACTTTAAGAATTTTTTTTTTTCTGAGCTTAAGTTTCAAATAAAATGGGCATGCTACTACTAACTGTGTCATTGGGAGCATTAAGAGCTTCTTAGATTCAGTGGTTACATCTTGATTTCATTCATACACTTGTTCATTCTATCAATAACAACATTTTGATAGAACATCTACCACGTTTTAGACATTCAGGTAGTTACTGAGAAGTTAAGCATTCAACAGTGAGCAGAGCAGATGTGATCCTGGCTCTTGAGAGCTTACTGGGTTACTAGCTAGTGAGCCAGTGAGCATCATAATATAAAGTGGCATCTTGATTTCAATAAAGGAAGTACTGAGTGAAGAACAGGACCCTAAGGATACTCTGGAGGGAATATCAGGAATGCCTTCTCAAACTAAATTATATTTTTAAGAGATATAAATAATATATTCAATATAACAATAGGTGTTATGCAGGTGGTAGGCAGGGGGGCCAAACAGGAGATGCAAAGATTTCTGCTGCTTTAGAGGAAAGGAAAGAAGTCAATATGATCTGGATTCAGATTTGGAGAAGGGTGGGAGCAGGAGCTCTAGAATAATAGAGAAGTATAAGTTCACCATAATGACTTTATACCACAATGACTGCCCAGAATTAGAAGCAATGAACCAGCTGTACACACAAATAGATATTTTAAATGTATTGAGGTGAAAAGGCAATAAAGAATGAGAGCTATTTCACAGTAACATATACAAATTTAAACAGACACAAAGACTTCATATTTTATAAGGAATCATACATCATCACATTTACATCAAACACATTTGAATGGATGTCTTGGGGGGAAGGAGAATGAGTATGGATTAAGAGGAAGATAATTACATAAAACAAAAATGAAAACTTGCATGAACTATTCATAAGAGAGTCCAGTGAGCTGAGGAACGGGAATTGCTCAACTCTGAATCCAAGTACCAAGGGAAGGAATGAAAGGAGGGGTGGAGCAGGAGACCAGAGACGAGACCCCCAGGAGGCCAAGGAGAGAACACTTACGACCCACCTGGGAAACAGCGAGTGGTCCTGCACAGTTCCATTTCCCTCCCCAGAGAGCTCAGGGTACATTTGCTTTGCTCATTTCTAAACTGTCTTCTCCCCAGCAAGCACACTTGAGACCTATAGGTCAAGAAGCAAAGACACCGGATCTATTTCTAAGGATTCCAGACTGAAAGTAAATATATTAGAGAAAATGAAACAGGGAGAGGCTGGATGGAGGCGCTCTCAGCCCCACTAGCCTGGCCTCAAAATGAAACATACATACATACATGAGCAAACAAACAAAATGAATATAACAAAACAGACACAGATTCACAGACACAGAGAATAAACTAGTGGTTACCAGTGGGGAGATGCAAGGAGGAAGAGGCAAGATGGGGTAGAGGATTAAGAAGTAAAAAATACTATGTATAAAATAACTAAGCAAACAAGGATATATTATACAACACAGGAAAACATAGTCATTATTTTGTAATAAGTTTCAATGAAGTATAATCTATAAAAATACTGAATCACTGTGATGTACACCTGAAACAAGCATAATACTGTAACTCAACTATACTTCAATTATTAAAAAAAGAAACACATGTAGGTTTGTGCAATTTTAATATATATTAAATCAAATCACTGCAGGGTTTACTTTTTCAAAAATGGGAAACTGAAACTACCCAGCATTATTCCTTCTTAAAAAATTCTATCTATTCCATTTAAGCCCCAGCAGCTATTAGGCATTTAAAGTGCTCTTGTCTGCTGTAAAGAGAGATGAACACTGCCTCTGTCCAGTAAACCAGCAATGTAGATGTGAAACACTGCAGACAAGTCAGTGATTGAGTGTTAGCTCTCAGAAGATTCCACACAAACTTCTGTAAGAAATACCAGCATTATGGAATTTTCAATTTAGTCCTGAAAAGGAAAATACAAAACTTGTTTCATAAATATTTTATTTCAGAATGATGAATTTTGTTTGGATTTTTTGCCCTAAACTGCCCAATAAAACATACTTGCTCTTTAGTAAGGGAAAATATAGATCCTAAAACACCCTTAAATCAAGTCATTAGCTATTACAACTCCATCTTGTGCTTAATCTACTCACCAAACACCTGAAGAGTAGAGTATGACACATTTCAGGAAGCTTTATAAATGTCTGTCAAATCACAGGTCAGTAACTAAGAACAGAAAGCATAAGTCAATTTACCTGCAAAAGAAGTAATTCTCCAAGGCTTTAAAATATAAAATGACACTGTAGATTTTCTGCATATATTTAATTATGTGCATATTTTACAATGGAGAAGACATTTAATAATATTAAAAGTAAAGTTTATACTAACTTGTAAGTAACTTTCACATAGAATCTTTGTTGAACAGAAGTGGATATTTCCTCAGTGATCTGAACTACAGACATACCTGAAACATACCGTTAATATATGATAGCCTCATCTGTGGTGTAAAAATAAATGAAAAGCCTAATGCTAGAGGTAAGATGCATAGACGCTTGGAAATGCACTTTGATTTGAAACCAAAAAGCAAAAAAGTGAAAGGAAAACCTGTGGAAGTGGCAAATCATTTCATGCAGCTCTTACACAAGTAAAGTTGGATCATATTATAGAGCTTTTATAGGATGATCAAACCAGGAATAGACAACCAAACTTTACTGCTATTGGTTCTTTCAAAAAAGAGAAAGTGAGAGAGAGGAACAGAGAGAGAGAGAGATCCCCACATTTAAGGCAAAAATGTCACCTATCAACAGGATTTTTAATTGTTCCCATATGATGAAGAGAAAAAAGCACAATACTTATACAAACTAAAAGACTGAGTACCAGCTATTGTTCTCAGCAGAATCGATTCATTTTTTTTGGCTCTGCTGTAATATATTCTGTCAAAGCTAATTATTTGTTTGTTTTTTAAAGGTTCAGTTCAGTTCACTCACTCAGTAGTGTCCGGCTCTTTGTGATCCTATGGACGGCAGCATGCCAGGGCTCCCTGTCTGTCACCAACTCCAGGAGTTACTCAAACACATGTCCATTGAGTCGGTGACGCCATCCAGCCATCTCATCCTCTGTTGTTCCCTTCTTCTCCCACCTTCAATTTTCCAAGCATCAGGGTCTTTTCAAATGAATCAGTTCTTTGCATCAGGAGGCCAAAGTATTGGAGTTTCAGCTTCAACATCAGTCCTTCAAATGAACACTTAGGACTGATCTCCTTTAGGATGGACTGGCTGGATCTCCTTGCACTCCAAGGGACTCTCAACAGTCTTCTCCAACACCACAGTTCAAAAGCATCAGTTTTTCGGCACTCAGCTTTCTTCACAGTCCAACTCTCACATCCACACATGACCACTGGAAAAACCATAGCCTTGACTAGATGGA